CTGCTTTCATGAAAAAATATGACTTTCTTTCGTTCAGTGAGTTTGCTAATGAAAGCACCCTAAAAGGTAACTGCGTTCAACAATGTTGTTTATTAAATTGATAGAAGTAAAGAGAGAAATCACTTGTAATGACAGTACTTCAACTATTACACCATCAACTAGCAACATCAATCAAGGACTTTCAGATAATAGTGGTATGTATACTAAATTCATACGTGAATATATATCTTATAGGATCTCCTGAAGTGAACCTGTGCTCTCCGAAGTTCGTGAATCGCAAAGAAATGATGAAAGACTTGATGATGTATCTAATGTCAAATACATATCTGAGCATAAGGTATGCTGATCGTGTTCTGTATGGTCTACGATCTTTTATCCCTGACATACCGAAAAGCATCAGAGGTGTCCTAAAGACGTGTCCAAGTGTTCAACCAAAGTTTATCGGCAGTGGGGTTTACTACCATCTAGGATTGAAAACCAATCTGCTAAGATACGTTGAACTTTGGTTGTGTACTAGTGATTTGGACTTTTTAAAATTATATATCAGTGTGGATGGACTTTCTATGTCTAGAAGCTCCAATCAACAGTTATGGCCTATACTAGGACGGATCGTTGCCCCTAAGTTTAGTGACGTGTTCATGATAGGGATCTACGGAGGGAATAGTAAGCCCGCAGAATTCAACGAGTTTTCTGCGGACACAATTTCTGAAATAAAAGAAATGACTGACGTGGGTCTTTTTAGTGTAAAGTTTAATAAATGTATAGCTATTAGGTTGGCGGCTGTTATATGTGACGCACCTGCTCGTTCTTCTGTTAGGTACACGGTAAATCACAACGGTAAGGCAGGTTGCGATAGGTGTACTGTTCTTGGGAGACGGCTGGAGGGAAAGACGACCTTTCCAAATGGAGTACATACCTTAAGAACAGACGACACCTTCCGTCGTCAGTCTCAATCAATTCACCATCAAGGACATTCTATTATGGAAACGCTTTCGATTGATATGATTTTAACTTTTCCTCTAGATCCTATGCACATGGTGTACCTCGGTGTTACCAAAAAACTAGCTAATTTATGGATAGATTTAGCACACCGAAGACTGCGCGACTTTAACTCATGTGCAATTAGGGACATAAATAATTTAATAACGGGTTGTGTGGCAAGTACTCCTTCTGACTTTCCCCGTAAATGCCGTACACTAGACTTTGTATCGGCATGGAAAGCTTCTGAATGTAGGTTGTTTCTTCCGTATTTAGGCCCGGTGATTCTTGAAAAAACATTGCCACAACCTTTTTATCTTAACTTCCGGCGTTTAGCGTTATCCATGTATCTGCTTGCACATCCGAAATTACATAAAAATGTTGTAGAAACCGCCAAATTAGATTTACTAAACTTCCTAAATGAATACGCATGGCATTATGGGTGTGAAAACTTAGTTTACAATGTGCATTCGTTACAGCACCTCCCTGACGACGTTCGTGCACATGGACCTTTAGATAGTTTTTCAGCCTTTCCATTCGAGTCTTATATGAGACAAATTAAGGATTCCGTGCGTGGTGGGTTCGCAGTAGCTAAGCAAGCGGCACAGCGTTATGTTGAGAGAATGTCCTTCAGCGATAGGCTTCAAATTAGTGGTTTAACAAATACTACCGCAATAGGCGCTAATGATGTCTCCATTAAACAAGTAATTATGTTTAACAACAGCAAAACAAGTCCATATAAACCGGATAATGTAGTAGTAGTTAACGGCCAGCCCGGTTTAGTTACTGACATAAAGGAGGATGGACTGCTAAAATTTAGGACTTTCACTGACCCACGCAATTACTTTGAAGATCCTTTCCCATCTAGTGATATTGGAATCTTTATGTGCTCCGTAGTTAGCAATGAATACACATGGGTATCGGTTCAGGACATTGATTGTAAATGTATAGCCATCAATTGTACCAATTACATAGTTGTAATCCCATTGTTGCATACTTTATTGTAAATGCATTTCGTTTCATTAGTGTTTAATTAATTATGATAAACCATTTACTTACGTCTTATGTTCTTTTCAGCCCACTAACAAGAAATACGTTATTGTTGACGCCCTAAAAAAAACAACTTACGATAGCATCAAAGAACTGGATAGTTGGCAATGACCTTTGCGCTTTTCCGAATGAGATGGTCGATATACACCTTCAGAAGTGCGACCAAGCTGATGACAATTGGTCACTTATGAAGTGTAAAGTTATTCATGAATTAGGTAAGCTACAATCATGGAAACTATAATTCACTATAGAATCTCTGCAGTCTGCAAAAGATCTGTTAGCTTCCCTGCAAATACTGCAATCTCACCTTGAAAACAATTCAACGGATGAAAACACTCTGCCACATAACACTGAGAAGCCCAAGAGGTTTGTACAATAATCTTACTAACATTTCCTAGAGGTGTAATGAAACGTAAAGAAGATTTTCTTTACAATTCAGTAGACATGGATGTGGCTGAGATGCAGACTGGGAATATCCGCGTACAATATCCCAAATTGCGTGCTTTCGACAAAGTGATATTTCCAATCGCCAAGTACGTTTAATTACTATTTAGATATTCACTATTTAGTTCAACACAATTAGAGACGTACAATTTGAGAATTTATTTTCACAAACATCTGACTTGATTCCTACCTCATTGGAGGACCTTGCTCGGTTTAAAACCACACTAGTTGATAGCTGCCAACAATACAAGAATAGTAAGGGTACCACAAATCACCTACTAACCAAGCAGCACCGTGACTCTTTAATGAAACTAAGAAAAGATGAAACCCTGACCATAACCAAACCAGATAAAGGAGGAGGTATAGTTCTCATGAACAAAAATGATTACATGGGAAAAATGGAAACAATGCTTAGCGATTCTAGCAAATTTCAGAAAATTACTAGTAATTGTGACATTAATAATAAAGTAGAAAAGCAATTGGCCAATTTCCTTAAAGATCTAACGAAAAAGGGAATAATTACGACTGGGATTTACGATTCAATCAAGCCGACTGGATCATTTACACCACGATTGTATGGTTTGCCTAAAGTACATAAATCGGGTCTTCCTCTACGCCCAGTTCTAGATATGTACAATTCTCCTTACCACAAAATCGCAAAGTGGCTAGTACGAATCCTAGAACCTCTACACAATTCAGTTGTTAGGAATAGTGCAAAAGACGTCTTCAACTTCACCTCCAAAGTAGAAAATATTAATGTCAGTATGAAAAATATGATCTCATTGGATGTAGAATCTTTGTTCACCAACGTACCACTTATAGAGACTATTGATTTTATATGCAAGCAAATATCAAAGAAACAAATCAACATTGGCCTGCCTAACGATAGCCTAAGGGAACTGCTCCTAAGATGCACTCTGAATGTACATTTTGTCTTCAACAATACTTACTATAGACAAATAGACGGGATAGCCATGGGCTCACCTCTAGGCCCGATTTTAGCTGACCTCTTCCTAGCAAAGCTAGAAAACGGACCTCTCAATAAGACTATTAAGAAACTGGATTTATATTGTCGATACATTGACGACACATTCATTATCGTAGACCAAAACACTAGTAAAGAGGAACTCCTAGACCAATTCAACAGTGTTCACCCAGCGATCACCTTCACTGGTGAAAGCGAGCATGATATGAAGCTGAGCTTCCTTGACGTCACACTAAGCAGACGAAGTGACGGCACATTAAGTAGAAGCGTGTATAGAAGAAACCCCTCTTCATGCCAATATACCCACTTCTGCAGTTTCACACCCATCCGTTACAAGAGAAATTTGGTCAGATGTCTCACGAGCAGAGCAAAAAAGATCTGTACAGTAGACACTCTAAGTCAGGAGCTTGAATTTCTCATCAACTCACTGACCGAGATCGGCTACCCCAGCGCGTTCATTAAGAAATACATGCAGGATATAACAAAGAAGTCGGAGATTTCGACTGTTCGTAAGAAACCTTTATACATGAAAGTGCAATTCAACGGGGATGTGGCTAGTGACACTCTGAAATATAGGTTAACCAAAGTAATCACCAAGACATTCTACGCAGCCAATCTTGCGTTGACCTTCTCTTGTCGACCAGCGATGTCTACTCAAACGAAGGATAAGTTACCTGAGTTGGCCTCTTCCATGTGCATCTACAAATTCAGCTGCTCCTGTGGAGATAGCTATATAGGGCGTACTACCAGGCAACTTAACCAATGAATGAGTGAACATCTACCAACTTGGTACATAAAGGGTCAGAGAAAAACTATTCGCAGCTCTATACTAGCACATCTTATCGATGGCGGTCATGCAGTAGATAAATTGAAATCATTTCGAGTTATCTATCGTATACCTCCATCATTTCCCGACGGAGTCCGTTCCCGTCTCCTATATATAGCTGAAGCCATTGGAATTCGTACATATAACCCCAATCTATGTGTACAGAAGAAATACGTGACTCCCCTATCCCTTCCATGGCCAGTTATAACCTAACTAACATTTTTTTAATTTCAAATTTTATTATTATCATTATTTATTTTATTCTATCTGTGTTATTGTTAACCTTATTTCCACATCCATTATTTGTTTGTCATTATCCGCCTCCTTGTATTCTTCACTATCTAATTATTTACACACATCTTATTACGTAATGATTTTTAATGTTTTGTGATTACTATTCCTAGTCTATTTACCCATGTTTATTTGACCTTCTATTTCCAACCATTAACTATTGATAAGAACTTTGTTATTGTAGTTTATTATTCTTACCACTATCTGTTCACCTGTCTTCGTACTATCAACTTGTACTTTTACCTATTATGTGTAGTGACTTATTCTATTTCATTGTGATTATTGACTCATATTGCCTTGATTGGTTTAAAATTTTCGTATAAATATTCATGTATATTAGAGTAAAGCCTGATGACGATCTAATTGAAAACAATTGTTCGCTTATATGTGTTGTTACAATTAGAGACATCAACATCGGAATGTAAGCATGTTGGTGGCGCTGTATTGGACCAGTAAGTAAACTGCATCATCTAGTGACCTTTTTCACCTGTGATAGGTTGTATACTGTGGTGCTGAAGATTTCGTCAGCTATCAATGACTTGACTAAAACGATTAACAACATGTCGTCCGCCATTACGAACTTGAATGTTAATGTTAACCAATTGCTTTCAAAGTCTAATGAGCGCGAAAGACCGCATGAATTCGATTGCGGACTGTCAAGTCAGCAGTTCCCTTTGTCATCTGAAGAGGAACTACAGATGCTAGATACTGGTTTGTCGCAGAAAGAAACCAGGGACAGATTTGTAAGTCATTGACATGAATTTAATAATTTGTTACTATTACAGATGGCAATGGTCACTAGGTTATCAGGTGACGATCCAAAAGCGTCCATGCGTTTTATTCTGTCGCATCTGCTGACACCGGAGGTTGCCAGTAAATTCACGTTACTTGGCACCTCTTCTAAACGAGCACTACATAAATGCACGTTTTACAGCTGCATACGAAGTAACCTATATCTATTACTTAAACTTCAGGTGCCTTAACTCATCGTTTTTTGTCATCCTCTGTAAATGAGAAAGACCTTGGTAAGCTATACGACACAGCGACACAAGGTTACTTTCACGACCTTCGAGACAAGATGATAAAACGAAATAGAAGAAAAGAAAATCAGGTAGGCACTAATTTAAAGTGATAACCTCCCTACGGCTCTATAGTTACAGTCAACAATACTGACGAACATAACCGTAAGTTCAGCTTCATGTATTTGGTTGTGTAAAAGCATGTCATTGAGATATGGTTGTGACTTTTTTTGTTTTTTTTTAAATTCAGAATTCACAGGACGACTACCCCAATTCTGATTAGTCCGTGCAATTGCTTTGATGTTGTACCTCGATTTCAATAAACATTATTCTTTCAAACAGCTTACTCTTTTACCTACATGGGAAACTGTTGAAGTGTTGAGAATGTGTGTTTGAGTTTCAGTGAACTATTGATTAAATGCACATTTCTTATGAATACATTATAACCTGTTCGTTCTTTTTCAGATAATTTCAAATAACAATGTATTAGCAATTGCATTGGATATGCATAACAATCGATGCTTGTGCTCTACTGTTGTACAATAATACGCTTTTCTTTTTCAATAAAATTTTTGAAATATTTACCGCTTTTCCACTGCATTGCAGATATATTTTGGTCTGTTCTTGAAAATAAAGGCGAACATAGGAGACCTTTGGGGTTCTGTCGATGAATAGAAAATAGTAGGTAATCTGTGTATTTAGGCGAAAAGTAGACAATTAAGCGCATAAGTATGCAATTCGGCGGATATTTAGGCGAAAATGTGATAATTCGGCGGATATTTAGGCGAAAATGCGACAATTCAGCAGATATTTAGGCAAAAATGCGAAAATTCAGCGGATATTTAGGCGAAAATGCGATTATTCAGCGGATATTTAGGCGAAAAGGCGATTATTCAGCGGATATTTAGGCGAAAAGGCGATTATTCAGCGGATATTTAGGCGAAAATGCGAAAATTCAGCGGATATTTAGGCGAAAATGCGAAAATTCAGCGGATATTTAGGCGATAAGTCTGTGGAGATATATCTGACAAGCTTATTTTGTAAATAGTTTTTAATATTATTTGTATTTGTCCATTTCTCACTGAATGTACATTTATCATTAAATGATTGTACCTGTTGTTTAAGTAAATGACCTTGAAGACTTTTTCCGTTGTAATTCGAACATAGCGTGACACACATTTTCGGTTGTTCACAAATACACTACTACGCACATACCCATTGTTCTATTGTCGTTCGTTACCAAGTCAATTGCGTTCTAAACTGGATATTATCCTCATTTCAGACTGCTGTGTCATTTCCATTATATCCTACGTCAAAGAAACTTATTGGCGTCATATTTACCTCTGTGGAATTATTACGCATTTATAATTGTGGAATTTTGAGACCAAGACTCAACAGAACACGCAACGACTAGCCGATTTAAGTAACGTCCCTAATTTGTTATTGTATTTGTAACATTTAACTTGTAAATATTAATATTACTATTGATTGTTAGTAACTTTGTTTATACTTTTGCGTTTATATATTGTTTGGTCCACCACAATTATTTGGTGAGCCTCGTTTTTTTTATATAGTCATTTACCTTATATATCTGCACATATTTTTATTATTATTACCTGGCACGACACCATTTTTTTTGTTTTTGTCATTATGAACTCTCCGGGTAAACTTATTGATATTGATAATTCACCGTCCAATCTTCTAAGCTCTCCACAACCAGAGGATAATGCTTTCAACTCGATCAACGCTATCTCAGAGTTAAGATTACCAACGTATTGTATTAATAATCCAAGAATCTGGTTTGCTCAGATTGAAGCTTTATTCATGGCTAGAGGCATAAAATCTCAGGCATCAAAGTATGCATACGTAGTCGGTGCACTTCCTGTTGAGATTGCCGCTGAAGTTGGAGATTTAACCGATCACGTGCCAGAATCTGAACCATACGATAAGATAAAAGCAGCAGTTATTCAACGCACCACGGTCTCAGATGAGAAAAGGCTGCAACAATTGCTAACGTCTTGTGACTTGGGAGATAAAAGACCCTCTCAACTTCTCCGCCACATGAAACAACTCGCCGGTCCATGCAAGCTAGACGAAGCCCTCCTAAAGCAAATGTGGTTTCAAAGATTACCACACAGCGTTAGACAAATTCTCAGTGTTTCAGGGAAATCCGTCGCACTTGATGACTTAGCCGACATGTCGGATAAAATGATGGAAGTCTACCATGATAGTTACGGTGTGAACTCATTGCAACCACCTGGACCACTAGATATTAGCTGTTTAGTCTCCTTTCAAAAGCAGTTAACGCATTTAACGAGCCAGCTAGCGTCTCTGCAATCAACCATAGCAACCATCCAAGCTAGACAATCGAGATCCCCCTCCAGACGAAGATCTTTTTCTAGACAACGGTCTAGGTCACCGAAGCGAACATCTGATGTTTGTTGGTACCACCAAAAATACGGCACCAAAGCACGGCGTTGTACACGACCGTGCACATTTTCTGCGTCTGACACAGAGAATCAGGGAAACGGTCCGGCCAGACAATGATGGCGGCGCCTGTTTCTGGCCACTACCCGAGCCGTCTATTTCATGTCAGGGATCGAATTTCGGGCTCAGATTTTTTGGTCGATACGGGAGCCGAAATCAGCATTATCCCATTACACCTCTCTCAACGACGGCACCTCAGAGTACTAAATTGTCTCTAGTCGCAGTCAATAACACAGTCATTAAGACTTATGGCGAACAATCACTTATTTTAGATCTCGGTCTCCGGAGACGTTTCACATGGGTTTTCATCGTAGCTGAAATCAAACAACCCATTATCGGGGCCGATTTTCTCGGTGCTTACAACCTACTTGTAGATATGGCAAAAAAGAAACTAATCGACAAAAACACAAGCTTACAGGTCAGTGGCACAACTATCTCCAGTTACGAAATTCATGGAGTCCGTATGTTAAGACCTGAAAACAAAATTTTCACCGATATCCTGTCGAAGTATGAAAGTATAACCAGAGCTGATTACCAAAACGAATGCTCTACACATCATGTCCAACACAGTATTACTACTACAGGACCACCTATCCGCGCCAGGGCGAGAAGACTCCCTCCAAACAAGTTGCAGTTCGCTAAGAGAGAATTCGAACATATGGTGCAACTTGGGATAATCAGACAATCTAACAGCCCTTGGGCCTCGCCGCTGCATATGGTTCCCAAGAAAGATCAAGACTGGCGCCCATGTGGAGATTATCGCCGTTTGAATAACCAGACTATCCCAGACCGGTATCCGATACCTCACCTGCATGATTTTTCTTTAAATCTACATGGAAAACAGATTTTTTCAAAGCTAGATCTAGTCCGAGCATACCATCAAATACCGATGGCACCTGAGGATATCGAGAAAACAGCCGTAATCACACCTTTTGGCTTGTTTGAGTTCTTGAGGATGCCTTTCGGACTAAAAAACGCCGCTCAAACCTTCCAGAGATTTATGGACGAAGTAACTAGAGGTTTGGATTTCGTATTTGTCTATATCGACGATGTTTTAATCGCTAGTTCTTCCATTGACGAACATGTTCAGCACCTACACACACTTTTTGAACGTTTCAAAAGTTATGGTGTTGTAATCAACCCTTCGAAGTGTATATTTGGCGCCTCATCTCTGGAATTCCTGGGACACCACATTGATTCCCAAGGAATTAAACCGCTTGAAGAGAAAGTCAAAGCTATCTCCAGCTATCCAGAACCAACCTCAGTAAAATCACTACGTCGTTTTCTCGGAACATGTAATTTTTATCGACGATTTCTACCAAATTGTGCCGATGTACTTCAGCCATTGACAGATTTACTAAAAAACGATAAATCCGGTACCAAGAAAGAAAAGAACCAAATATTCAAGTTACCTTCCGATGCCAAAATAGCATTTGAAAAAGCTAAATCCATGATTGCTAATGCTACCATGCTCCAACACCTAAATACTGACCCCACAACACTGTTGATCCTATGCACGGATGCTTCACAAAAAGCCGTCGGGGCAGTATTACAACAGCGGGTAAACAACACTATTACCCCCATTGCCTTTTTCTCCAAGCGATTATCGCCAGCACAAGAACGTTATAGTACTTTTGGACGCGAACTCTTAGCTATGTATTTAGCAGTAAAACATTTCAACTTTTTGCTACAGGGTCGTGATTTCATCATTATGACAGATCACAAACCTCTTTGCCATTCTTTTAGCACATCGTATGACAAACACTCCCCACGAGAAGCAAGACAACTTGATTATATCTCCCAATTTACCACAGACATCAGGTTCATCAAAGGTCACATGAACATTGTTGCAGATGCACTATCTAGGAGGGATATCAATACGATGGTACTCAATCATGACATCAGCCTTGAAACCTTAGCTAAATTACAAGCAGACGATGCAGAATTGAAAGCCTGCAAAGAAAAGTCTAGCTTAGATCTCAAACCTGTACCGATTCCTCTTTCAGATACATTTATCATATGCGACACTTCAACAGGCAACAATCGTCCGTTTGTCCCACACGCTTGCCGACGAAAAATATTTCAGCATTTACATGGTCTTTCACATCCAGGTATCAGAGCAACAGCAAAGCTCATTACCGAACGTTTTGTGTGGCCTAAAATCAACTCGGATGTTAAACGTTGGACACGTAACTGTCTCCAGTGCCAACGCAGTAAGACGCAAAAACACACTTACAGTCCAATTGGGAAGTTCCCTATCCCTGACAAACGCTTCCAGCACGTGCATTTAGATTTAGTTGGGCCTCTGCCACCATCAAACTCTTTCACACATATCCTCACCGCAATAGATAGGTTCACAAGATGGGCCATAGCATGCCCCATTAAAGACACATCAGCAGAAACAGTCGCTTCAGTCTTCCTTGACCGCTGGATAACTAACTATGGAGTACCATCAATAATCACAACAGATCGTGGTCCTCAATTTCAATCTGTCCTTTTCCAGGAGTTCACTAAACTTCTAGGGGTCAACCATATTAAAACCACAGCTTACCACCCAGCAGCTAATGGCATGGTTGAAAGATTCCATCGCCAATTAAAAAGCTCACTGATGGCGCAAGCTGACTCATCAAAGTGGAGCGATGCCTTACCGCTTGTACTCCTCGGTATTCGTTCAACCATAAAGGAAGACATTGGATGTACAGCCGCTGAGTTAGTCTATGGTACAACTCTAACGTTACCCGGCCAAATAGTCAACTATGAACCTACAACGCACGGGGATTCTACTCACTTCGCAAGCCGCCTATTACAAATGATGCAGAACATTAGAG